ATGATGTAATCTTATATTTAGGAAAGCTAAAGACTCCTCAATAGAACTCCTAGAACCAATCCACAAATTTAGTGAAGTTGCAGAATATGATATTAACAAACAAACACAATTAGTAGCAGTTCTATAGACTAACAGCTATGTGAAAAGAAATCAAAGCATAAATCCCATTTACAATCGCTACCAAAAATACCTAGGAATACATTTAGCCACGAAAGTGAAAGACCTCTACAATGAAAACTATAAAAGACTGATGAAGGAATTGAAGAGAACACAAAAAATGGAAAGACGTCCCATGTTCATAGATCGGAAGAAAAAAAATCTTCTTTAAATGACCATACTGCTTAAGAATCCTACTGATTCAATGCAATCCCTAGCAAAATACCAATGATAGAGAAAACATTCTTAAAATTTGTATGGAAGCTCAAAACACCTCGAGTAGCCAAAGCAGTTTTGAGTGCAAGGAACAAAGCTGGAGACATCATAATACCTGACTTCAAAACATAACTACAACCAATAAGCTATAGCAACCAACACAGTATGGTACTTGCATAAAAACAGGCAACAAGGCCAGGCGCGGTGGCTCAAGCCTGTAATCCCAGCACTTTGGGAGGCCGAGGTGGGTGGATCACGAGGTCAATAGATCGAGACCATCCTGGTCAACATGGTGAAACCTCATCTCTACTAAAATACAAAAATTAGCTGGGCATGGTGGCGCATGCCTGTAATCCCAGCTACTCAGGAGACTGAGGCAGGAGAATTGCTTGAACCCGGGAGGCAGAGGCTGTGGTGAGCCGAGATCACGCCATTGCACTCCAGCCTGGGTAACAAGAGTGAAACTCTGTCTCAAAAAAAAAAAAAAAAAAACAGGCAACAGACCAACAGAACAGAAGAGAAAACCTAGAAATATATTACCTATTTATACTATTTATAGCCAACTGATTTTCAACAATGTCATAGGAACATACACTGGGGAAATAACAGTCTCTTCAATAAATAGTGTCTGGATAAATAGTCACGTGCAGAAGAATGAAACTAAACCCCTATCTCTCTTCTATATGAAAATAAACTCAAAATGGATTAAAGACTTAAATGTAAGACCTGTTATTATGAAACCACTAGAAGAAAACAGGAGAAACACTTTAGGTCATTGGACTGGGCAAAGATTTCATGGTTACAATCCCAAAAGCACAGGAAACAAAAGAAAAAATAGATACATGAGATTATATCAAACTAAAATACTACTTCACAGCAAAGGAAGCGATCAATAGAATAATTAGACAACCTGCAAAATGAAAGGAAATATTTGCAAACTTATTATCTGCTAAGGCATTAATATCCAAAATAGACAAGGAACTCAACAACAAAAACAAAAAACAAACACACCAATAGTATGATTTAAAAATGAGCAAAGAGTCTGAATAGACATTTCTCAAAGACATGCAAAGGGTGAACAAGCATATTAAAAAAATTCAACATCCCTAGTCAAACTAGGGAAATGAAAATCAAGACTATAATCAGATATTAAGTTTCCTCGGCTAAAATACAATGTTTATATATGGGGAATGTTTACTGCAGCACAATTCACAATAGCCAAGATATACAATCAACCTAAGTGTCCATCAACAGATGAATGTATACGGAAAATGTCAAATATTTACAAAACAGAATACTATTGACCCATAAAAATGATTAAAATGCTTTCATTTGTGGCAACATGGATTAGCCTGGAGGACATTATGCTAAGTAAAAGAAGTCAAGCACAGAAAAATAAATACTGCTATTCTTACTCATATATGGAAGCTATAAAAGTTAACCTCATAGAAGGAGAGTAGAATACTTCTGTGAGTGGTTCCAAGAGGCTGGGAAGGGTAGGGGGACAGGGAAGCTAGCAGGAATAGGGTGGTTAACAGATACAAAGTTGCAGTTAGATAGATAGAAGGAATAAATTCCAGTGTTCTATAGCACTGTAGGGTGACTATAGTAAATAATAATCGTTTGTTTTTTCAAATAGTTAGAAAACAAGATTTTGAACGTTCTCAACCTAAAGAAATGATAAAGGTTTGAAGTGATCAATATGCTTATTACCCTTAGTTGATCATGACACATGTATACATGTATTGGCATATTACATTGTGCCCCATAAATATGTACAATTGTATGTCAATTTAAAAAACGACAATAAAAATTACCTTCTCAAACCTAAATTTACATTTCATATTGGATTAAATATTAGTTTGAAAAGGTAAACTGTAATAACACAATGTACAAAAAGAGATCATCTAGCAAAAGGATGTATAGTTTTTTTAAGGCTGAGAAAGCGTGTGTGTGTGTGTGTGTGTGTGTGTGTGTGTGTGTGTGTGTAAAGAATTAGTGGCAAGGCCGGGCACGGTAGCTCAAGCCTGTAATCCCAGCACTTTGGGAGGCCGAGGCGGGTGGATCACGAGGTCAAGAGATCGAGACCATCCTGGTCAATATGGTGAAACCCCGTCTCTACTGAAAATACAAAAAAGTAGCTGGGCATGGTGGCACATGCCTGTAATCCGAGCTACTCAGGAGGCTGAGGCAGGAGAATTGCCTGAACCCAGGAGGCGGAGGTTGCGGTGAGCCGAGATCGCGCCATTGCACTCCAGTCTGGGTAACAAGAGTGAAACTGTGTCTCAAAAAAAAAAAAAAAAAAAAAAAAGAATTAGTGGCAATAGGGTGGGAATAAGGTGGTGGTGGTGGGAGTGGGAGATTCTTTGATCATGAGTCCAGCTAGAAGGGACATTACAAAAACTGATGAGCAAGTACACTTCTTACAGAAACAAAACTATCTGGAAAAGATGAGTGAGCAATGAGAAGGATCAAAACGTGCTATTGGTAGATATTTCCACAATTTGGTGTTTGTATTGTTTTCATTTTCTTTCTTTTTTTTTTTTTTTTTTTTTTTTTTTTGAGATGGAGTTTCGCTCTTGTTGCCCAGGCTGGAGTGCAATGGCGCGATCTCGGCTCATCGCAACCTCCGCCTCCCGGGCTCAGGCAATTCTCCTACCTCAGCCTCCTAAGTAGCTGGGATTACAGGCACACGCCACCATGCCCAGCTAGTTTTTTGTATTTTTAGTAGAGACGGGGTTTCACCATGTTGACCAGGATGGTCTCGATCTCTCGACCTCGTGATCCACCCGCCTCAGCCTCCCAAAGTGCTGGGATTACAGGCTTGAGCCACCGCGCCCGGCCCTTGTTTCCATTTTCTATCTCATTGAAAAATTTTTGATTTGGGGTATTTCTGCAGAAAAATTAAAATTGCAATTTATGTTTCCTAAATTATATAGCAGATTATAAGTGCTTTTTGCTAGTCTATCACGATTTTGATAGTTACACATTTTTATAAACTACTCCTTTGTGCTTTCTAAAGAAGCAATTGTTGTGTCTTAAAGAAACCATGGTTGGCTCTTCAGATTCACCCATGGTTATCTCAGGACTAGCCCAATTTCATTGTTTCTAGATCATTTTTTTTAATACAATTCGGTTACTGAATTTATTGCTCATGGTAAGTTTTTTTAAAAAAATAAAACATTTATAATTTACTCTGAAATCCTGGTCTAGATGTTTCTCTATTCTGTTCCATTGTTTTCTGTTGACTGACACTTTTTTCCTCTCATTCCTGCTGGCTTGGTATATTCAGACAACCTCCCTTTGTTTTAACTTCAGAAGCTGTTCATAGGCAGTTCTCAAGGGAAACCAGGCTGACTAGCTTGTCCATTTACATCACAGAATCATGGCCTTGGAGCATCAGATTTAGAAAAGAAGGAAGAGCTAGCAAGAATATTTGTTCCCTCTGTGTTAACTTAGTCAGGTGGAAGGAAGTCATTACTCTGTTGATGGCAATACCAAATTTGGTAGGACAAGTGGAAAATCTGCTGGTGGAATAAAGTACCATGTGGGCATTAGCTTCATCCTGATGGCACTGCCTCAATTGCTTAAAGAAGTCATGTATGTCCTTAAAATAGTTGCCTCTTGGCTTGTCTGCCAAGACTGCTGTTCAAGAGAGAATAATCATATTCTGCAGATCTCTCATTTTCCCTAGTGAGACTGAGCAGGTAGAGTGATTGGAATCCTATGGGGTTGGAATAGCTAAGTGCTCAATAGCTCTATAGGCAGTGAGGAAGGCCCAATATGAACACCTCAAGAGACAACTCATGACAAATAGATCTTGATTATTTCATCCTGGATAGAAAACAAAAACTGGCCGGGCGCGGTGGCTCAAGCCTGTAATCCCAGCACTTTGGGAGGCCGAGGCGGATGGATCACGAGGTCGAGAGATCGAGACCATCCTGGTCAACATGGTGAAACCCCGTCGCTACTAAAAATACAAAAAATTAGCTGGGCATGGTGGCACGTGCCTGTAATCCCAGCTACTCAGGAGGCTGAGGCAGGAGAATTGCCTGAACCCAGGAGGCGGAGGTTGTGGTGAGCCGAGATCGCGCCATTGCGCTCCAGCCTGGGTAACAAGAGCGAAACTCCGTCTCAAAAAAAAAAAAAAAAAAGAAAAGAAAACAAAAACTAGCCTATTGGTAATCTTCAACAGTTTGTATGCTGCTGTGCTACAGAATTTCTCTAATTTTTAGCCAAGATTTGAATGAAACATAATACCCTCTTTCAGTCAGTTATTAGAGGATTTGGCTGTATCTTTTCATGGAAAACTGGCTTAGATCCAGAGATGAACAGTGTCACAGATGATTGCCTAACACATCTGAAGTTTAAGTCCAGTTGTAATTTCTGCCATTGGGATCTTTGAAATTCCCAATTTTTCATAATAAAACACTCTTTACTTAAGCTAGTTTGAGTGGATTTCTTTCTTTTTTTTTCAATCATGCAAATTCCTAAGACAATGTCAAACTTCCCTTTGCCTTGGTAAATAATCTATTAAATGAGCATGATCAAGATGCCTTTATAAATGCGGATTTTTTTCAGCATAATTTTAGGCCAAAAAATAGTTACAAAAGAGGATAATACAGTACTATTTGTGCCGACAAGAGACGCCTGTTGGCCAGCTCCATTGCTTCAATGTTAAAGGTCTCATCTATTTCCTTTTTACAGTGTGGACATTTCACCTTCTGATGTTCTGTTGCTTCTTCTTGGCTCAACTAAATAAAACATAAATAAAAGAACGAAAAATACACTAATATTAACATATTGTTTAGCATAACCCACAAGCAATTTTTACACCAGTTTGGGTTGAAAAATGGTAGCAAATCTTGTAAATATAGAAAAATGTTCAGATTCTCATCATTTGCTCAAATGTCCTAATCATTTGCTCAGTTCTAGAAGGTAAAATAGTTCTAAGTTTTGCTAGGAGGAGTAATGTCATATCTTTACTTTTACATGGCATTATTAACATTTTAAAAAGCTATCACATATATGATCATACTTTACACTAGCAGTTTTCAAAGTGTGGTCTCCCAGCAGCATCAGAATCACCAGGGAATTGTTAGAAATGTGCATTCTCAGGTCCCACTTTAGACCTACTGAATCAGAATTGGAGGAGTGGGCAGTTTCTAAAAACTCATTTGAAAATTTTGCTGCAGCCAAAGCTTGACAACCACCACTTTAAAATGATCACTTAATATAAAATAGAAAGTGAACATACATGAAGGAAATGGGAGTATGAATAATTTATACAGATGAGAAACTGAGGCTTAGAGAAAATTAATAATATTCTCAAAATTACAAGGCTATTTGTTAAGTGAGAAAGCTATGCTGTAAAGCCAGACTTTCTGATTCCAAGGTCAGTGTCCTACCTGAAACTATAATATCCCTCATGTTTGCATCATGAAAAGGAGAATGTAGTTGTTTGATCCTCTGCCTTCTGAAACAGATCAGGTACGAGAGTGGTGGCCCCAACACTGGCTGCTACATTAGAATTAGCTGGGTAGTGGATTTAAAATATTCCTGGGACCCTGCTCAGACCACCTGCATCAAAATCTTCAGAGAGTAGGTGAAAACCCATCAATATTTTTAATAAGCTTTCTAGATAATTTCTGATGCAGACAAGTCAGCAAAGTTTACAACCAGATATTGAAGGCTACTAGAGAAATCTTTGGATATTACTTGGTACTCATTCCATCCAAAAATACTGGCAGTATTCCTGTAGGCACAAAGCTTAGTTCTAAATTCCTATCTGGCGCTTTAAGCACTGATCCAATGTATATGAAATGGATTTTTCAGAATTCTATTTCATAGAGACTAATTATCTCACCTAAGCACTCCTAGAAGTTGGCCCCTCATACTGTGTGATGCAAAAAAGAGAAACAAAAACATTGTAAAAAAAAACACTGAAAACTGGACATGACGTAGGACACGGAAAAGTGCAGTAGCTGTGAAGACCCCAGGACAATTTTACTATTTCCCTTTAGGGAAACCATGACTGATTAGCTGAGTGCTCTTCAAAGAAAAGTCTGACTGCAGATATCTGAAAGCCTATCTCAGAAGCAGAAGGTGACATCTCCCACAGCTAAACTTATGATATTGGCTTTGAATTCTATTTTATATTAAAAATACTATTAACCATAAATTAAGGTCTAGCAAATGCTTAGAGATACAATAGCCCAAATAAATAAACAAAAGCCCTTGACCCCTCCCAATTTGGTCAAAAACTAGCCATTTTCTAAAGCTCATTTTCAGACACACACCCACACCCACACACCCACACACCCACACACACCCACCCACCCACCCACACACACACACAATTTTTTAAAGAAAGGGTTTCTCTTTACTGCCCAGGCTGGAGTACAGTGGTACAATCGCAGCTCACCACAGCCTCCACCTGTCAGGCTCAAGCAATCCTCCCACCTCAGTCTGCCGAGTAGCTGGGACTGCAGATGCATACCACCACCTGGCTAATTTTTGTATATTTCATAGAGAGATGGTTTTGGCATGTTGCCAGGCTAGTCTCAAATTCATTGGCTCAAGCAATCCACCTCCCTTGGCCTTGCAAAGTGCTGGGATTACAGGCAGAAGCCACTGTGCTGACCTATGATCTCTTTCAGAGGGAGCTCCAATACACAGCTTCATCTTTTGAATTTAAACATATATATTTTAAACATAAACATAAAACATGTATTTTAAGCATATATACTCAAAGGGGTTATGGCTTCTACTTTGTCCCATAGTGATCATGAAATTCCTTAAGATTCCCCTTTACAACTTTATTGAGTTATCAACACTACTTCTCTGTCAATTACAAATATTAAAAATTGTGAATTAATATTTATGACCTAGTTTATACTTCAGTATAATCAAATCTGCATTGAAGCAATAAAAGAGATATTACTTGCTTACCACATAGGGGTTTTTGAGTACAATTGCTTTCTCAACCACGTTCCAATCAGCATTAGCAAGATCTTTGTCAAATTTAAGTGCAGAGGCTGCAGACTTGGTTAGCTCTTGAAAGTGTTGAAATGTGTAACAAAATGATTTATATTTTGTTGATGTGACATCACGAAGACCTTTGATACAAAGATACATTTGATAAACAGTAGAAACACTATTTTGATAAGGGTTAGAAAGCTTCCTTTGTTTTTAACTTATTGTCAGTAATCTTTAAATAAAATTTAAACATAAATTGTTTAATAATGGGAATACTAAAGAGTTAAACATTTTCTGCTTTCATATTTCTTCTCACAAAAGGTGAGGCATATAATAGTAATAGCTAATGTTTATTAAGTGCTTACTATATTCTGCAAATCACATCTCAGCACTTTGAATGCATTACGTCTTTTGGTTATCTGGCCACCTTTTGAGGTGAGTCCTTTTTCCCACTTTGACACATGAGGAAACAAAGAAACAGAGGTATAATGGTTAGTTTTATGTGTCAACTTGTCTGGGCCACAGGGTGCTCATATATATAAGTTAAGCATTCTGGGTGTGTCTGTGAGACTGTATTTGGATGAGAGTGACATTTAAATTGGTAGTCTGAGTAAAGTCCATTGCCTTTCCCAATGTGAGTGGGCCTCATCCAATCTGTTAGAGGCCTCAATAAAACAAAAGTCTGAACAAGACAGAATTTGTTGTCTCTGCCTGATGGTCTTTGAGCTGGGACTTCAGTCTTCTCCTTCCTTCATACTTGAGCTAGAACTCGCACCATTGGCTCTTTTGGTTTTTAGGCCTTTGGAATGCACACTTCGGGAGTTAGCTTCCATAATTGCATGAGCCAATTAAACACAAATGATAAATTATCTGCCTTATCCTTTAAGATTCTGATCTCTCAAACTATCTTGTTGTTCTAGAACACATCAGTTTCTAGTTCCCTAAGAAATTTAGCACCTGTTCTGTTTTCTGAAGATCATTAAGTGAAATAAGCCACACATAGACAGACAAACATCACATATTCTCACTTATTTGTGAGATCTAAAAATAATAACAATTTAACTCATGGACATAGAGGGTTGAATGATGGTTACCAGAGGCTTAGAAGGATGGTGGTAGAGTGGGGGCAGGTGGGGATGGTTAATGGGCACAAAAATTTAGAACAAATAAATACAACTTACTATTTGACAAGACAATAAGGTGACTATAGTCAATAATAGATTAATTTTACATTTTAAGAATAATTTAAAGAGTTACATTTTAAATTTTGAACATTCTTAAAATTTTACATTTTAAGAATAAAGAGTAGTTGAATGGTTTATAAGTCAAAAGATAAATGCCTGAGGGGATGCATACCCTATTCCCTATGATGTGCTTATTTCATATTACGTGCCTATACCAAAACCTCTCATGTACTCCACAAATCTATGCTTTAACCCGGAAGTAAAGCTACATGCATATAGTCATCTAATGTTTGACAAAGCTGATAAAAACAGACAATGAGGGATGGATTCCCTGTTCAATAAATGGTCCTGGGATATTTGGCAAGCTGTATGCAGAAGAATGAAACTGGACCCCTACCTTTTACCATATATAAAAATTAACTCACGATGGATTAAAGATTTAAATGTAAGACCTCAAACTATAAAAGTTCTAAAAGAAAACCTGGGAAATAACCTTTTCAACATTAGCCTTGAGAAATAATTTCTGGCTAAGTCCCCAAAACAACTGTAACAAAATGAAAATTGACAAGTGAGACCTAATTAAACAGAGTTTCTACAAAGCAAAATAAACCATTAATCAATTGAACAGACAATCTATAAAATAAGAGAATATATTAGCAAACTATGCATCTGACAAAAGTCTAATATCCAGAATCTAAAAGGAACTTAAAGCAACAGGCAAATAACAAATAACCGCATTTAAAAATTGGCAAAGGTTAAGCGTCCATCAACAGATGAATGGATAAAGAAAATATACATATACACAATGGCATACCATTCAGCCACTAAAAAGAATGAAATCTTGTCATTTGCAACAACATGGGTGGAACTGGAGGGCATGTTAAGTGCAATAAGCCAGGCATAGAAAGACAAACTTTGCATGTTCTCACTTATTTGTGGGAGCTAAAAATTAAGACAATGGAACTTATGGAGATAGAGACTATGATTATTAACCAGAGCCTGTGAAGAGTAGTGGGGAGGTGACGAGAAATTTGGATGATTAATGTGTACAAAAAATAGAAAGAATGAAAAAGGTCTGGCATTTGATAGCATGATAGAGTGGCTATAGTCAAGAATATTTAATTGTGCATTTAAAAATAACTAAAAGAGTATAGTTGGACTGTTTGTAACACAAAGGATAAAGACTTGAGGTGATGGATACTCCATTTACCCTAATGTGATTATTACACATTTTATACCTGTATCAAAATATCTCATGTACTCCACAAATATATACAACTACTCTGTACTCACAAAAACTAAAACTGAAAAATAGTAGGCAAAGAACATGAACAGACACTTCTCAAAAGGTGGCATACAAGTGGCCAACAAACACGTGAAAAAATGCTCATCATCACTACTCATTAGAGAAATGCAAATCAAAATCACAATGAGATACCATCTCACACCAGATAGAATGGTTATTATTAAAAAGTCAAAAAAATAACAGAAGCTGGCAAGGTTGTGAGGAAAAGAGAGCACTTATATACTGTTGTTGAGAAAGGAGAATGTAAATTAGTTCAGCCACTGTGGAAAGCAGTTTGGAGATTTCTCAAATAACTATAAACAGAACTACCATTCAAGCTAGCCACCCCAGTATAGCCAAAGGAAAATAAATCACTCTACAAAAAAGACACATTCACTTGTATGTTCATCACAGCACCATTCACAATAGCAAAGACATGGAATCAACCTAGGTGTTTATCAGTGGTGGAATCGATAAAGAAAATGTGGTACAGATACACCATTGAATACTACACAGCCATAAAAAAGAAAAAGATTATGCCCTTTGCAACAACATGGATGGAGCCAGAGGCCACAATCCTAAGTGAATTAATGCAGGAGCAAACAATCAAATACCTTTTGTGGGAGCTAAACATTGAATACACATGAACATAGAGATGGGAACAGTGGTCACCAAGCAGTACTAGAGTGGGGAAAGAGAAACAGGGTGTGAGTTGCAAAGCTACTTTTTCGGTCACTCACTTGGTGATGAGATCCATACCTCAAACCTCAACATCCCACAATATACCCATGTAACAAACTTGCACATGTAATTCCCTTAATCTAAAATAACATTTGAAAAAATATTAGGCAACACTGACTTGTATTTATATAATTTATATGGACACTGACTTTGTTGCCCAGAGTGAAGTGCAGTGGTGTGATCTTGGCTCACTGCAGCATCAAACTCCTGGGTTCCAGAGATCCTTCCCCAACAGTCTCCCAAACAGCTAAGACTACAGGTGTACACCACCACACCTGGCTAATTTTTAAACTTTTTGTAGAGATGGGGGTCTGACTATGTTGCCTAGGATGTATATGGATTCTTTCTTTATTAATAGCACTTCTTTACCATATTTAGAATGTTTTTCTCTACACTGGAATAGTAATCATTAGGACTTACCTAGTATAGTAACTGCCTTTGGCAAAATAAATTTATTGACAACGAGGGTTATTAGGCATAATAACACTCCATGAAATAATATCTAGAATTGAAAAAAATGCTAAGTAAGTATTCATGACAATTTCATATAATATAGCCTATATTTACCAATTCAAATGAAGCTAGATTGTGCTACGTTAATAGATGCTTATGGCAAGGGAGGGATTAATCTAAGACACGATCAAATTACTCTGGGTATTCTTTATCTTCCTGCACATAATTCATCCATGTTTTGCTACCAAACCAAAATTAGGATAAGAGTTTTGACAAGTAAATCAATACTTATACAGACATTGCAAAGGAATATTTGCCCTTGACTTCCACTGTTGCACTTCCCAGTAGCTGAAAATACACTTATACTTTATCAATCCTTATCCACTACACACACCTTGCTGTGCATAGCCACACCGTTCTCTGTTCAACATTACCAGCATATCTGCATCAAACAATTCTCCTCACCTGGGAAAAGAGAACAACTCAAGGCCCTTGATGTGTTTTCTCCACCTCACATTTTGCCTCATTGCTACCCTTTCATTGTCAGGAAGAAGGGGCAAAAAATGTCTTTGATGCCACCTGATATCTTTATTGACTTGTTTCCCAAATCGGTCTTGACAGACAAGTGAACTAAGACATTTCAATCTGAGGCTATACATTTTAGGAGATTTATGGAATTCTAACTTCCAGAATTTATGTTTAACCCTAGCTAGCCCCTGTTCTATAGCCACAGGTGGAATTAGGGACAGAGCATAAACTACACTAGAGGCTCCGAAAGTTGCACATTAGAATCACTAAGGAAACTTTAAAATATTGGTGCCCAGGAGGTCCCCACTGAATATTCTGATCTAATTCTTCAAGGGTGCAGCCCAAGTATTGGTAATAAGGAACTTAATGTACATACACTGAAATGTACTCATGTATCATTTAATCAATTTTGATAGTGTATATATACTCAGATAACTCTCAATCCTATCAAGATGCAAAATAGTCTCACATCACCAACATTTCTGTAATGTTCCTTCCTAATCAGTCCTCCACCAACGAGGCAACTAGTATTTTGATTTCTACTTCTGTAGATAACAATTGCCAATTCTAAAATCTTCATATAAATTAAATACATATGATGTGTCTCATGATTTTAATTTGCATTTCCTTACAGTAATAATGCTGAATATTTTTATTTTTAACATGCATATTAGTACACATTTTCTTACTGAAGCAGTGTCTGTTCAAATATTTTGTAAATTTTTTTAAAAAGTTGGGTTACCATTGTATTTTTCTTCAAAAAATTATTAGAGTTTTAAATTTTATATGTAAGTCTATGGTCCATCTCAAATCAGTTTTAGGTATGTTGTACGGTAAAAATAGAGGTTTTCTTTTTTTTTTTCTAAGCGAATCCAGTAGGTCAGCATCATTTATTGAAAAAAGATATTTTTTCTTTCATTGAACTGTTTGAGAATCTGTGTCAAAAACCAATTCATCATATAAATGTGTCTTTTTTCAATTCTTTGTTATACTTCATTCATCTTTTTTATTCTTATGCCAGCATGACACTGATAATACTAATTATACTGTGTTTTATATTATGTCCTGATATAAGATAGTATAAGTCCTTCAATTTGGTTCTTCCTTTTCAAAATTATTAGGGCTAATCTCAGTCTTCTGTATTTCTATATAGAGTTTAGATTTTGTGTATCTGTTTCTAAAATCTTCTGGGATTGGAATTGCATTGAGTATAGTGACATCTTAATAATTCCAGGCCAACAAAGATGGAGTCGATCCAAGATGGCTGAATAGATACAACTCCAGCACACAACACCCAGCAAGAGACACACAGAAATTGAGAGATCTCCTAGCTCCCAGCAAGGTACCAGGTCCATTTCAACAGGTCTGGTCCAAGAGTGAGCAAAGTCCAATCAGGGCAGACCCAGCCAGAGAGGGGTGCTGCTTCACCCAGCAAGTACATCTGACCTGTGAGTTGGAGGCTCCCCCTCTGGCACTCCGGTCCAGATACAGCGCTTCCCCCACAACCTCAGCAATAAACAGAACAGGGGATCTTGCCAGTCAAGCACCAGGAATTACAAGTGCAGAGCTGAATAATAATCCAGGATGGTGTCCCAGATTGGTTCACAGACCTAAACAGATGCATAAGCCCAAAAGGTGGCCAGGAAAACCTGCAGACAGAGCTATTGTCCCCTCCCTGCTACCCAGAGAGAGAGGAGGCTGAAAGGCGGAGATGGCCAGGTGCTGCTGGGCAGGTCCCTAACCTCCCCCACAAACTCCAGAGGGCTGAAGCTGACTCTAGTGTGTTACGCAGCCAGTGCCAAAGTCTGAGCTGAACCCTGACTGATCCAGCCTCGTGGAGGAAAGGCACAACCCATCATAGGAGGGGTCGGATTGGGCTACATGTTTAAAAAAAAAAAAAAAACCATAGGAAGCCTATGTAGAAAAGGGATGGCATTCTTGACAACCCAGCAGCACCTACAGGTCAGCAGAAGAGGTGGGCCTAATTAAACAAAAAGATATAGGAAGCTTCCCTAGTAACCTGAAGGAGTCCCTAGAAACTCAGTAGCGCCTCCACAGGCAGACAAGCAACCTCACTGAGCAGCTCCCTGACAACCTAGCCAGGTAAACCCACAAAGATGAGAAAAAAACCAGTACAAAAAAGATGAAATCATCAAAGACCAGAACACCTCTTCTTCAAAGGATCACAGCTCTTCAACAACACAAGATCACATCATTACTGAGAAGGAGTGCGATGAATTAACAAAAACAGGCTTCAGAAGGCAGATAATAAACTTTTCTCAGCTAAATGAAAACTTTATTTAAAGTTCTAACTCAATGCAAAGAAGCAAAAAACCTTGAAAAAAGGTTAAACAAAATGCTAACTAGAATAACCAGCTTAGAGAAGAACATAAACCACTTGATGGAGTTGAAAAAGACAGCATGGGGATGCTGGGAAGATGACAGACTAAGCACAGCTCGGGACTTCAGCTCCCAGTGAAAGTGCAGAGGGTGAGTGGACGCCGCATTTCCAGACGAATTTTTATTGCCCACAGACCAGGAGATATCCAGGCAGAGGGGTCGTCAGTGCCGCTGTTCCGGCCGGTGCGGCTGTTTTGGCCTCTGTGGGGCTGATTTGGCCCACGTGGCTGCTGTGACCACTCCTTGTTGTGGCAGTTCTCCATACAAAAGCCACTGGTCTGGGAGCCCTCTTAGCTGGCGATTGGAGCCCTGAGATGGCAGAGTTGCCCATTCATCTGAAATAGTGAGCCAGGCCAGGAGATTCCTAGGCAAAAAACCCGTCAGGAGCCGGCGCCGCTGTTTGAGCCGACTCAGTGAGTCGCAGCACAGGAGATCCTGGCGCCTTTTCAACAAGCTACTGGAACGCTGGGTCATTCAACTTAAAAAATAAAAAAAAAAGACTCTGAGTCAGGGAGCCAGGTGATCAGGCTCGGTTGGTCCCAACCCCCACCCCAAGCAACAACAACAATGAAAACCAAAACTTGCTCTTGAATGTTGACTGGATAAACAATGAAATCAAGGCAGAAATAAAGATGTTCTTCGAAACCAACAAGAACGAAGACACAACATACCAGAATCTCTGGGACATATTTAAAGCAGTCTCTAGAGGAAAATATATAGCAATGAGTGCCCACATGAGAAGAAAGGAGAGATCTAAAATTGACACCCTATCATCAAAATTGAAAGAGCTAGAGGAGCAAGATCAAAAAAACTCGAAACCTAGCAGAAGACAGGAAATAACTAAGATCAGAGCAGAACTGAAGGAAATAGAGACACAACTCTTCAAAAATTCAATAAATCCAGGAGCTGGTTTTTCTAAAAGATCAACAAAATAGACAGACCACTAGCCAGATTAATAAAAAAGAAAAGGGAGAATAACCAAATTGATGCAATAAAAAACAATAAAGGGGATATCACCACAGATTTCACAGAAATACAAAACATCATCAGAGATTATTACAAACAACTCTATGCACATAAACTAGTAAAACTGGAAGAAATGGATAAATTCCTGGACACCTGCATCCTCCCAAGCCTAAACGCGAAAGAAGCCGAAACCCTGAGTAGACCAATAACAAGGTCTGAAGTTGAGGCAGCAATTAAGAGCCTACCACCCAAAAAAAGCCCAGGTACAGATGGGTCCACTGCCAAATTCTACCAGACATACAAAGAGGAGCTGGTACCATTCCTTCTGAAACTATTCCAGACAATCCAAAAAGAGGGAATCCTTCCCAAATCATTTTATGAGACAAACATCATCCTGATACTAAAACCGGGAAGAGACTCAACAAGAAAAGAAAACTTCAGGCCAATATCCATGATGAACATAGATGCAAAAATCTTCAATAAAATACTGGCAAGGCGATTGCAACAGCATATCAAAAAGCTCATTCACCATGATCAAGTTGGATTCATCCCAGGGAAGCAAGGCTGGTTCAACATACACAAGTCCATAAACGTAATTCACCACATACACAGAACCAAAGACCATAACCACACGATTATCTCAATAGACACAGAGAAGGCCTTTGACAAAATTCAACAGCCCTTTATGCTAAAAACCCTCAATAAACTAGGTATTGATGGAATGTATCTCAAAATAATAAAAGCTATTTACGACAAACCAACAGCCAATATCATACTGAACGGGCAAAAACTGGAAGCATTCCCTTTGAAATCTGGCACTAGACAAGGATGCCCTCTCTCACCACTCCTATTCAATATAGTACTGGAAGTTCTAGCCAGAGCAATCAGGCAAGAAAAAGAAATAAAGGGTATCCAAATTGGAAAGGAGGAAATCAAATTGTCTCTATTTGCAGATGACATGATTGTATATCTAGAAGACCCCATCGTCTCAGCCCAAAATCTCCTGAAACTGATAAACAACTTCAGCAAAGTCTCAGCATATAAAATCAACGTGGAAAAATCACAAGCATTCCTATACACCAGTAACAGACTTAAAGAGAGCCAAATCAAGAACAAACTGCCATTGACAATTGCTACAAAGAGAATAAAATACCT